TAATCTAGATGCCTTATTGTACTTATTATTCCTTGGTTGGTTTTGTGTCATCTACATTGTCATGCTACGCCTTCTTCTATCACCCATTGATGAGATGTTGAGGATTTTTAGGAAACAAAAACTCTTTGAAAGTTGACAGATTGGTGAATATAGAGGATGATTGAAGGTTGAAAGGTTGTGTGATCAACTAATATTGGACATATGTTTATATAGAGGATGATTGATGAAAGTTGAACAATTGGTGAAAGTTGAAAGTTTGGTGTTGAACGGTTGGTGAATTGAAAATTTGGTGTTGAACTGTTGGTGAATTGAAAGTTAGCCCAAGGTTGAAAGATTGGTGGAAAGTTGAAGGCTTGCTTTGTGGAAAATTTAGTGATTTTTCAATATTTATCGGAATTTAAATATTTTTAGATTAAAATGTTCATAAAATTAATTTACGATAGTCTACATATTTTTTTTTTAAATTTAATTTAATAAAAAAAAATAGCTTAAATACATTCTTTAATGATTCCGGGATTAAAAGGAAAACTAATGAAAAAGGTTTCAAAACTTTAAGTTTTAACCAAAAACCACCCACTAACTCTATTTAATGATAAAGACAAGAGAAAGAAAAACAATTAAAAAATACCTAACAAAACACGTGCAAGCCCTGCACCTCTGTCAATACATGATCCACCACTTACAACCCTGACTCTTTCTTATTTTCCCGCCATGGAAGCCATGGCAATCGATTCGGAGAAGAACCTCCATAGAAAGCATTCTGCCTACAACTTGTTAGTCCGTACTCTCTCTCAAGAAATTTTAATTTTTACATCAACTTGTTTGTTTGCCGAGAAAACACACGAGAAAGTATAAATATTTTCATGCTCAATCGAAAAGTTCAGTTCTTTTTCTAGGGTTTTTTCAGCAACTGTTCCCAAATTACGAGCCAGAACTGACATTTGCAGAGCAATTATCATGAAATTACTTCTTAATTTCAAATTTTTGTATGGGTCAATCTACGAGGGTGATGAACGTGGGAAAATACTCTTTTATATTTTTTCTTCCTTTTGGTTTTTCTCTATGTTCTTATCTGTTCTTTTGTTGTTTTATCCTAGTAGTCCAATTTTTCTCTTTCTCTCGTCATCATTCCTAGATGTTATATTTTGCTGCTTGCTACACTTTCTGCTTGCAGAGTTTAAATTCTTTAAAAGCAAGTAAACTTCTATACCCATACATCTGCACTTCATATTTTTACCTGTTGAAAGAGTGGAGTTATCAAACTGAATTTTTACTATTTGGATTAGCTATGCCTATCTCATATGGACCTCAAACCGGCTCATATTTTTACCTGGAGATCGATACTAACCATGTTGATCCAAGTAGAGTACAAGTTGAGAAGAAAAAAACCCAGATGGATGCGACGACGGTGCCTCTTAAACAGTGTAATAAGTTAAGTTTCATAAACAATGTAGTAAGTTTCATAAACAATGTTGTAAGTTTTCATAAATAGTGTAGTAAGTTTCATAAATAGTGTAGTAAGTTTCATAAATAGTGCAGTTTCATAAATAGTGCTCAGTTTCATAAACAGTGTAGAGGTACTACTCGCGTCCTGTTTTTTTATTTATTATTATTATAAATTGTGTTCTTTTCATTAAAAATTAAATTTTTTTGTCCTTTTTATTAAAATTTAATTCTTTTTCATTAAATAAAGTTTATAGCATAGTTTTTTGTTAAAATAAACTTAGTTTAAGCTTTTTCATTAAAGTTCCCGCTAAATTTTAATCCAAATGGTTGGAGCTAGAAATGTTTTTTATGGGCTAAAAAATTTGGCTTTTAGCCCAACCATTGGAGTTGGTCTTATGTTCTAATGGATATAGTTTTGCTTTTTTAGGTGATTCTTTATATAATGTTTGAAAACATGTCTGAAGAGGAAATGGAAAGGGAAGATGAAGAATATCATGAAGCCATTAAGTTACTATTGATGGCAGTACAAGCAATAGTTCAAGTGCTAAATGCGTTAATGGTTATTATACATGATGATCATATTGAACGTCCATTGGCTCGACGACCTATTAGTAGAATTGGATATGATTATATTAACAAGGTATTGAATAAGGATCCTCAAGAATTTCAAGTGCTATATAGGATGTATCCGAATGTTTTCTTAAAGCTATGTGACGTCTTTACGGAAAAGACGCATTTGAAGGGTACAAGATTTATTTGTATTGAAGAAATGGTTGCTACATTTCTACTCATTATTGGTCAAAATTCTCGATATTGCCAAACTCTGGACACATTTCGGTGGTCACATTTTACAACAAGCAAAAATTTCAACAACGTTTTGAAGGCCTTGAACACAATTGCACCAGATTTGATGGTCCAACCTAGATCCATGGTGCCAACTAAAATAAAAGAAAGTACAAGATTTTACCCTTATTTTAAGGTTAGTAATTAGTACTTATCTTAACCATGTCTTGATTAAACTCGTTTCATAAACATATTCTTAGCTATTATTAACTCTTATAGCTAGTTGAAAACTGTTAAACCCCACCCGCGAATTTATATGTAATTTTATAATTTTCCAAAGTTTTATTTAATTTATCATTTTAGTCCCTTTTCTTAACCAAATCTGGACCCTCTATCTTGATTCTCAAACTCCCTTAAACTGCCATGTGGCAGCACCCTAACTAACCTCCATTTTCTCTCTTCGGTCCCCCACCCCGTGACCCCTCTTTCCTTCTCTCTCTTTCTCTGTACTTCTATCTCTCTCTCTCTCTAAACCCTTTCGTCTCTCTCCTTTTCTTTCCCATGAACACACACTCACAGCTGCATCACTTGCGAAGAAGGCATCATTACCATCAACCTCGCCTTTCTCTCCCTTTCTCTCTAGGCGCAGCTGGGACTGTGGAACCCAGGAACTCTCTGGCGAGTTCCCTTGATTTTCTGATTAGGTAAGCTTTGTATTACCTTAAATTTGTCTTGGTTGTTGCGTGGTTGAGATATATTAAGCTTTAACTCGTCATTTTACAAGGTTTTTAAAGGAAATCGGCTTGAGTGTGCCAAACCCATCTCCGATGAACCCGTGGCTGTCAAGGGGATTTCTGGTCACCTCCGGCCTTTTCACGGCAAACCCAAGGTATAGAAATACTCATCTTACCTTCCTCTACGTTTTGGTTCCTAATTAGGAGCCTAAGTCATGTGTTTGCTGTCGGTCGGAGCTGTAGAAGCTCCGGTGTCCTTCTCTGGTGAGCACCAGGCCTTTAGGCCGTTCTCAAAAGGCCACGGGCCTTAAGCCCATTTTGCTTAACCCCAAAACCTTCTCAAAATCAAGCCTTAGGGCCGTGTGGGTCTGGGCTGAGCCCAGAGAACCCTGAAATCCTAAACCCTTTCAGAACAGGCCTTCGGGCCTTGGGAAAACTAGGGCCTTCGGCCTGTGGAGCAAAACCCTAAACCTTTGGGCTTTAAGACCTAAGCTCTAATCCGGATCCAAGCCCAAACCCTTTCCCTTTCCAATTTTTATTTTAATTATTTTTGTTACAATTTTTTTAAAATGAGGCCCTTGGGCCATTTATGTTGTGACTCTAAGCCCAAAACCCTTACCCTAAACCCATTAGGCTCTAACCATCCAACCCAAATCCTTTAGAAAACCCTTTTATTTATTTATTACCTTTTTGTGCTTATGTGAAGTTGCTAGTGAGGAAATTCTTAATCCTTATCCGCACAACTCTACTGCTAAAGAGTATCTGTGAGTAGACCTCTTCTAAAACTACATGATTTTATAGTTCAACTGCATAAATGAATAGCATGTCTTACGAGTTTATAATTTGATTTTATGTTAAGCATGTTTATTGAATTTGTTGATTTTCGTCTCATGTTTTTAGTGAAGAATTAATTGTTGGCCTATATTGAGCTATAGTTTGATATATCGTATTTTCTATAAAACCATGAACTGGTAAACTATCTGATGGATGACGATATGATGCTAGAACATGTTTTAGAAACCCCTCTTTATAGTATAGACGATGGATGATTTTATACTATGAAGTGGTTATTTATGAGAGGCGTAACTATTTGTGCGTACCTAGTGGACACTATGCCGCCTGGGGTGAGGATTTGGTGTTGGCAGTTAAGCTGTGAGAAATAATCCCTAGCAAAAGGTTGAGGGACATGGAGACAGACATTGGGCCGGGAGGAAGTTATCACTGGCACAGAGACTTAGGTGCAGGCATTGGGCCGGGAGTATTATTATTCAGTGATCTTAATGGCAGCACACCTTGCTTACGAGACAATCTGTGAGACTATTGATGCTTTGATTTCCGCGATGTGTCTTTTGAGATGTTGATAGCATGCTAGGGTTTTCAGAGAAACCTATCATTTATTATGCTAGTAGTTTTTTATTATTAAAACTTTGGGGGTTAATATGTTTATACCTGTTTTTATATTATGTATGTATATAAACTTGGTCCACTCACCCTTGTTTTGCGCCTTCTTTCAGGATTTAGAATCGAGACATACGATCCCTACGTCAACGCTTTCGCATTGGCATATTTGAGTCCTCTCGATTTAGGACCTGCATCCTCTTATTTATTTAATTTTTATTAATTCTTTTAAAGTTTTAGTTAGTTGTATGCTCTGAACACGTTTCTAAATTTTTAACTGATTGTATTTAAATTCACAACCCTTATTTACTTCTTATTCTTAGCTTTTGTATTAATTAATAGCTTTCGTCACCTTCGGTGTTAGTAGGATGAAAATTTTAGCTCGTAAAGAGAAGAAAATTGTTGATCAAATTCTCTGCAATTCTCTAACCCCATGTAAAGAATTATCTCATAAATCATGTAAAATTCACTCAAAATCTCTGAGAATTCCTTTTTTTTTTCTCTCAAACTCTCTCAAATTCTATAGATTTAAATTCCCTGAAACTCTCTAAAAATCCTAATTGAATACCACCCCCTCTAAATTGTCCATCCATGAACACAATCCAAAGCCAAAAACTTGAAATTGTCTACGACAAAACCTCAACTGAAATTCTCATCATATCATTCATAGCTGGAAATTACACTACTGAGTCTGAACATACAATGATTAACTGCTCACACACACACAGACACAGGGGTGAGTGCTTAGAAGACCACTCGAAACTGGGGCGCGTCGGAGCCACTAGCGGGGAGGATCTCCCAGCGGCAGGGCTCCAGGTCTTCGGAGACCGGACAGTACCCGGCGAGAGTGACCTTATCGGCTGAAGCCGCGACTGATCCGAACTCGAAGACGGTGATGTTGGCGGCGGCGGGGGGTCGAGGCACCTCAACGGCGCCGTTCATGCCGGGAGCAGGTTCGGCCGGTTTCGGATCCGGGCTGGTCTTGGTTAGGGGTGTAGACTCATTCCCTTTCCACCACGAGAGCAGACCCATCGCTCCCCCTTGGACTTTGTCGCTGCTTGGAGTTTTTGATGCTTTGCTTGGGAACATTGGCGGCATATCCATCCACACTCCGCGCAGGTAGGATTTTTAAGAACAAAGGGAATATTATTGGGCTTGAAAATCCACGAAATTACGGAAATGCCATTGGCTATTTAAACGCTCTGAGAAGTCTCAAGTCTCAACTGGAGCAAAATGAGGGAGTTCATTGATACTGCAGGTGCGGTAAGTGTTTGATTGCAATCCGATTTTGTGCATCTCTCTGCATATTAATGGTGGTTTGGGAGTGAGATGCTTAAAAAAAAAAAAAAAAAAAACATCCATAAAAAAAAACTGTGAGGGTTTTAGGTGTTTGGTAAACTAAAAAAAAAGGCTTATTTTGGAAGTTGCTGTGAGAATAAGCTGAAATCAAAGGAAAAAGTTGAAGCTACTATTTGCAGCTTTGGAAAACTGGTTTTTTTTTTCAAAGTACACGGAGTTACAGTGCTCCTTTAATGAAAATACCCACTATCAGATTGTTTTTTTTTTCCAAAAGCAGTTTTACAAAAAAGTTTACCAAACACTCCGCTGATTTATTTCACAGTCGCTTATTCTCACAGCACAACCGCTTATTCTCACAGCAGTTTTTTTTTCAAAGTACAGCAATACCAAACCAGCCCTTAGTATTGCCTGAAATCATTCTTGTAAACTGATATGGATTCAGTAATTTGTGAAAATTAATTAATTGGGTTTTGTTCTATCTGGATAGTTATTATCTTTGGGTAAATTTTGGTTGATTGGACAAAATTTCATCTGTTGATTATTTTATTAGAAAGAACAAAATTTCATCTGTTGATTATTTTATTAGAAAGAATGGTTGCAGGTTTCAGTAACGAGATTTTATATATATCTATATGTATGTATGTATGTATGTATATTTAACTGTATGTGAATGTATACATTATATATACTAAAACTTAGTTGAAACCGGCACTGTTCATAAATAGTGAAAGGCGGAACTGCCCCTAGGTCAATCATTTGTTTTCCTTTGTCTGGCCTGCTTCGTACGTTGAAATGACGTTTTTACCCGTGTTGTCTGCGTGTCCGCCATCCTTATTCTCTTGACTTCGAGAGTCTTCTTCCCCACAAAAAAGTGGTTTCCAAGGTTTCCAAAGTTGCGATCGGGCAATAATTCAGAGTGTTATTCTTTTTTTTTCTGCCTGAGATTTTTGGGTTGTGGCTGAACTTTGGCCAATTTCCAACCTGTTTTGGTCGCGGCCCGTCATCAGATCGCTGCGGAACAGATGTTATTCAGCTAAGGTGTATTTTATAATGGTTGTCTTTCAATTTTTATTTTGGATTTTTGCTTATTTGGAAAAAAAAAAAACCTAACGATTTCATTGTTCTTTCAGTTGTGGTGCTCTGTTAGGCCTTTCCCGGCTAAAAGAGCATTTTGCATTTTGGTTGCTCTGTTAATAAATCTGACATTTGCTAGCACCTGTGACGCTGCTCTTATATTCTGGGTAAGTTTTATGTCCTGCTTTTTTACAGTTTCGAAATGCATTAATAATTGTAGGATGAAAATGGATTTATAATTTTTGGGAAGAAATGAGAGGATTTGTTGGAATTTTGGAAAGCTTTGTCTTTCTGTCTTAAGAACAGGGAGAGGAAGAATTTTAAAACTTTTTATGCTGTTAGTGCTAGAACCTATGTGTTTTGTTGGGAAATTGATAATATGTAGAGTTATTAGAATTTTGGAAAGCTTTGTCTTCGTCGCTTTTATCCTATAGAGGGAACACAAACATGGAGAGGAGGACAGTCAACATTAGTTTTAATTGTGGTTTTAAATTTGTTTATGCTGTTGGTGGTGGAAGTTTTTATTTTGGATTGATATGCTGGTTGTCAGATTTTGCCTGTTTGAAGTTTATGTTTTTAGTTTTAATTTTTGATGAAAGTAACTCATGTTTGCTTACCCGGCAGTGGTTACTTTTATGTGCATTGTACGGGGTTTTAGTGTTTGAAGCCCTAGCCACATAGGTTGGCCAAGTCAGAAAAAGCCTTAAATCAACTTCAATCCAACTCCTTTCTTTGCTTTGCTTACATAACAAATTAACCAATTTTGTTCCGTTTTGATAACCTTTTGAAACATTTGGTGTCCGGATGGAACAATTTTTCAAATTTTGGTTTCTTTTATGTTTTGCCTGCTCTGTCTACGCTTACAATTTGGTTTTCTTTTTGTTTTCAGCATGTGATGCTCTTTGTTTTTTGCAGCTTCAATGTACAGCCTTTAAAACCATTTGTACTTCAAGTACGTAATATGACCCTTTCATCTTAGGCTTTTTATTCAAACAAGTTTATATTTTCCATGTACTACAAAAATTATCTTTGTTATTCTTTTAAATAGTTTTTAACTCCGCCTGTGTAAGTTTATCTTACATTGCCGGTCCCAAGCCCGGGTAAAGGAGGAGGGGGAGGACGTCAGGTAGTCGACAGCCGGCACTCATCAGTTACGTCGAATCCTTATGAAAATGAATCCAAAACCAAATCGCGCTAAAGCTAGGGCGTCACCCGTAAGTGGCGCGCTGTGTGGCCCGAGCACAGTGATAAGTGAGCAAGGGTCGCTGTATCTCCATCGGCACCCGGATTCAGTGTTAAATGAGCAAGGGGGCCATAGAAACTTCTTTTCGAACGACTCCACTAAAAGTTGTTTGGGAGCATATGCTCCTATCAACTTTACACAGGACACACAAAAGAAGTACTTTGATCCTATTGGACGGGGGAGGGTGAAGAAGCTAGGACAGAAGGGTAAAGTTCAAGAGAGTAGAATGCGTTTAGGAACGTGGAATATAAGAACCTTAACGGGAAAATCTATGGAAGTAGTGGAAGTTATGGTGAGGAGAAGGATAAATATTATGTGCCTACAAGAAACTAAGTGGGTTGGTCTTAAGGTAAAGGATCTAGAAAACTCAGGGTTTAAACTTTGGTATTCGGGCACAAATAGAACGAGAAACGGTGTTGGCATCATCGTGGACAAGACCTTGACACAAGATGTTGTAGATGTCAAGAGGGTAGGAGATAGAATCATGGCAATCAAGATTGTAATAGGACAAGAACTCATCAATGTGATTAGTGTGTACGCACCTCAAGTAGGGTTGGATACGAGTTCGAAGGAGAAATTTTGGGAAGGCCTTGGAGACTTGGTGCAAGGAATTGCCCAGACGGAGAAGTTATTTATAGGAGGAGATTTAAATGGACACGTGGGCAGGGAGACATGCAACTATGGAGGTTTTCATGGTGGCCATGGTTTTGGGGAGAGAAACGAGGATGGGGAAGCTATCTTGGATTTTGCAATGGCATATGATCTCTTCTTAGCCAACACCTTCTTTAAGAAGAGAGAAGAACATGTGATCACCTACAAGAGTGGGTCGTCAAAAACACAAATAGATTTTCTTCTAATGAGGAAAGGGGATCGTATAACTTGTAAGGATTGCAAAGTTATACTGGGAGAGAGCTTGGCTAATCAACATCGCTTGTTAGTGATGGATGTACATATCAAAAGAGTGAGAAAAAAGAACAACACTTAGAAGTGCCTAAGGACTAGATGGTGGAATCTAAAAGGAGAAAAACAAGACATTTTCAAAGAGAAAGTAATCACCCAGTGTGTGTGGGATAGAGAGGGGGAAGCTAGCCAAAGGTGGGATTCCATGGCTAGTTGTATCCGAAAAGTAGCAAAAGAGGTATTAGGAGAGTCCAAGGGCTCTGCTCCACACCAAAAGGAATCTTGGTGGTGGAATGAGGAGGTACAAACAAAGGTGAAGGCTAAGAAGGAATGTTGTAAAGCCTTATACAAGGACAGGACCGATGAAAATGGTGAAATGTATAGAAGAGCGAAGCAAGAGGCGAAGAAAGCTGTGAGAGAAGCTAAGTTTGCGGCTTATAACGACATGTATAAGAGACTAGATACCAAAGAAGGAGAGTTGGATATCTATAAACTAGCTAGAGCAAGGGAAAAGAAGATAAGGGACCTAAACCAAGTGAGGTGCATCAAGGATGAGGATGGAAAGGTTCTTGCTACAGAGAATGCGGCTAAAGACAGATAGAAAGGTTATTTTCATAATCTTTTCAATGAAGGACATGAAATGAGTACTTCTTTAGGGGAGTTGAGTAACTCAGAAGAGTGTAGAAACTACTCATTTTATCGTCGAATCAGGAAGGAAGAAGTGGTTGTAGCTTTGAAGAAGATGAAACATAGAAAAGCAGTGGGCCCAGACGATATACCGATCGAAGTGTGGAAAGTCTTGGGAGAGACAGGTATAGCATGGCTCATTGACCTTTTCAATAGGATTTTGAAAACGAAGAAGATGCCAAATGAGTGGCGAAAGAGCACTTTGGTGCCTATCTACAAGAATAAGGGCGACGTATAAAATTGCATGAACTATAGGGGTATTAAGCTAATGAGTCATACAATGAAGCTCTGGGAGAGAGTCATTGAGCATAGATTGAGGCAAGAGACACGGGTTTCGGACAACCAATTCGGGTTCATGCCAGGGCGCTCAACCATGGAGGCAATCTATCTCTCACGAAGATTGATGGAAAGATATAGAGATGGGAAAAAGGATTTACACATGGTCTTTATAGATTTGAAAAAGCGTATGATAGGGTCCCAAGAGACATTCTTTGGAGGATTTTAGAGAAGAAAGGAGTACAAGTAGCATATATCCAAGCTATAAAGGATATGTATGAAGGAGCAAAGACTGCCGTAAGAACTCATGAAGGACAAACCGAAAGCTTCCCCATAACTGTAGGATTACATCAAGGCTCATCCTTAAGTCCTTACCTTTTTGCGTTGGTAATGAATGAGTTAACATGACATATTCAAGATGATATTCCTTGGTGTATGCTTTTCGCAAACGATATAGTGTTGATAGATGAAACTCAGGAAGGGGTAAATGCGAAGCTTAACCTTTGGAGAGAAATGTTGGAATCTAAAGATCTTCGCCTAAGCCGATCAAAGACAGAATATATGAAGTGCAAGTTCAGTGCAAATGGAGGCCAAAATGAGTTAGGGGTGAGGACGGAGATCAGGAAATACCAAAGAGCGATCGTTTTCGCTACT